TCCGGAGCTCCACTGTGGACACAAAAAGAAAATATCTTTGTATAATAATCTGCCCAAAGAAATTCAAATTTGCCCACATTGTGTTTGAGGTCACTGAACTTTGTCGCACTCGAGCTGATATTTAAACCCACGCTCGATCGGACACTTCTTCTGAGCTTCGCAGATCACTAAAATATAAAAACAATCCTCAATGTAGAAGTTTTGGCGTTGATAAGAGGGCAGAAAAAGAGTTAATCTTTATCGAGTAAATCTTCCCCAAGATCGGTTTCAAAGCAACCATAGTTTTTTAAACTTGATCGTTTCGGGCAGATTAATTTTGCTTTGTGTTGTCAAGTTGAACATGCATAACACCTGTCAAAAACCAACGCGTAAGTAAGATTTCCTTCAAACAAAGTTAAAGCTACATTATTGCAAAAACTTCTTTCCAATTATGTATAAGATTTAATTACCGATTGAGGTCACTTTAAGGACCATAGACGCCACTTTAAGCTGGCAAAGAGATGCGACAAGCAAAGAACAATTCCATCATCCATAAAATTCAGCTTAAGTGAACTAAAAAAGCTTAGATAAGGTTGCAAAACAACAAATTGTCATTAAAAAACATAAGGCTTAAAGCTCTTATACCTGCTGACAAAGAAGAAGTGAATTTTCTGTATGGAAACAACCTACCTAAAGATCTTAAAAGCAAAAGATCAGTTGCAAGCTTCGCAGCCAAGCCATGATTCCGACTACTTAGCTAGATTAGCTACTTTTAGTAACTGGTCCATGCGATGGTCTTCATTCAAGCAAATTAAACTCAGCAAACTGAATCATTAGAAAATACAGAAAACTGCACATGAGGATTTGTTTTGCTCGCTTCAGTTAAATCCAGCTCCAGCAATTGTTTACGGGCAAAGAGTCGATTGTTTTGGAGTCACTGCCGGCAGTTGTCGTTCTCCGCTACTTCACAGCGAGTGAAAGGAGAATTTGCGTACAGAAAGATAACAAACCTATGTAATTAACACTGAAAAAACTAAAGGAAAAAACTCTGACTATTATTACTTGAGCAACAGAAAAATGATCGAAGTAGTCTTTTCTTCTCGAGTAAGCTTGCTGGCCTTCTAAAGTTCCGAGGAAGTTTTAAGCGCTCAAGTTTGTTCACTCGCAAGCGTTAGCATTACGGTTCTTTGACATAAGACAAGGATAAAGCTGGTTCTGCAAAGGTAAATAAATCTGGGCATGTAAAAAAACTAACCGTAACTACTAATAACAGAATACAAGCGGGTTTTAATTCAGTCCGGCGAAAGAAGGCGAAGAACTGGACACAAAATCAATTCACAAATCGAATGCACAATTATCAGAAAAATACAACCTCTTTGGAAATGTTCAAAACGTTTTATTCCTCCTCAGACTGACGGATGATCTGTTTTTACTCTAACATTGGTTGTTCTGAATCCAAAGTAATTTTCAAAATAAAAACAACAACAACAACAAAAACAAAAAAAAAGCCTTTACAAGGAGCAAACGTTCGCACCTCGTGTATTTAATTTCATTCAGTCTCATTCAGAACTCTCATAGAACGAGACAAACAAACGCAGGCGATAAGGGATGCGCAGAAGCTTGCGCAGAACGTTTTTCTGCCCTGAAAGACCAACATTGACGTCACGTAGTCTCCAGTCTATCACTCGGCCATTTCAGAAACGTTTTCGTGAAGTTTTCGGAAATGCTCGGATTTTGATCATTTATCTTTCTATAAAGGCTTGGGAAGAAAAATCTTTACCCAAATCTCACTTAGGATGGTTCTTTTTAGTGTTTCAAGAAGGTAAAGCGACAAAAGAAAATATGTCAATTTTTTGATTCATTTGACCTTTAAAGCTACAATAGATGTGTACAGAAAATAAGTGGGAATCATGCAAACTCAGGACTTGTAGCACAGAAAGCCACACACTAACCAGCTGTGCCAATCCTTGCCCCCAAGTTGCAAGCTTGCCTCTTCAGCCTGCAAAGCACTTTGTGTTACCCAATCCCTCTAAGATTTAACATGCAGAGGTTAAAAAGGTACAACAGCAGTCTAAGATTAAGAGATTGTTGCTTAAGGTGGGTTCTTTAATTAAGTATAATTCATGATATGTGTCATTTTTTTTTAAACGGGATCTGCCAAAGATAGTCACTCGAAATAGATGACTAAAACCAAAACCAACTGTCTAAAAGTCAATAGGCTCTTTGCATGACTTGAACACGTGATCAACTTTCGGTAAACACAAAAACAGTTCACTTTTGAAGAATTTTGTTAGCACAAGCTGAAAGACCACATTAAAATTAGGTAACCTGAGAATTTTTAACCTTACACCTCAAAAGCAGCAATTGCAATGGCTGCCGAAAGTTGAAGCATTTGTATGAGAAAAACAACGCTTGCCATCCAGTCTCGCTTGCATGGTTTGTAATTTCAAAATTTTCAAAAGTTTCATGAAATATTTTAAGCATTAGATGGCTCAAATCTCCTTTTAATTCATAACAGACA